GGGGGAGGGGGTAGGAGAAGGGGAAAGGGGTCTGTCGAACCACTGTGATGTACATTTGATTAAATGAACAAATAAATAAAAATCTACAGCCTTGCTATTTATTTCCTGTTTGTCCCATCCATTCTTTTTTTCTTTTAATCTGCCTACTTTTGAATTTATTTTTATGATGTAGTATTATGTCCTATGTTCACTTATTAACTCTAATTCTTTAGTGTTTTTTAAAGTGGTTTTATTTATAGGATATATCTTTAACTTATCACAGTCTACATTCAAGTAATATTATATTCCTTCATGTATAATATAAAAGGTATACCATAAGAACAATATGCTTCCATATATCCTCCTCTGACATGTGCACACTGTCATGTATTTGATTTCTGTCATAAATCCCAATATACATTATTATTCTATTCTTTTGTTTTAAAGAGTCAATTCTAGTACAAATAGAATTTAATATAAGAAAAAATATTATATATATTTCATATATAATGTATATATATACACACATAACCTTTGAAAGGTCTTTGAGGTTATAAAAAATACTTTTCCATAAGTTTTAGAAGACTTTTACGGAATTTTTCTGCCTTACTCTTTAACTACATAAATCTTTGACTTATCTGCAATTAATTTTAAAGAAAGCTTTATGTGAGAGAGATTCAACAGTTTTATTTCTCAAATGTTCAATCAGTTGTTCCAGCACCATTTCACTTATGAAATCATCCACATTTCTTCACTGGTTTGCAAGTTATCTTTGTCATAAAATCCATGACTGTTTAGATCTAATTTTTCTGGCCTCCCATTGATAGCTCATTTATCTGCCTATGATATGTGTATTTGTGTGTGTTAATATTTTTGCTTGAACTGACTGCCCCTAATTACTTTTTACATTTTCTCAGCTATTCAAGTTTATTTTCCCAAATACAATGTAAATGGCGTATAAACGAACCATGTAATTATAGTGTTTGCGCTCAGCTTCTGTTTGTCATCATGGTACACTTGAGATTCATCCATGTTGTTAATTTGTTCCTTTTTATTACTGAGTAGTATTTAGTTGTGTGAGTGTGACAATTTTTGTGTACCTCTTCATCAGTTAAAGGACACTTAGGGTGCTTACAGCTTTGATATACTGCAAGCTGAATAAAACTGCTATAAACGTTGGTGAGCAGGTTTTTATGTGAACCTAAATTTTCATTTCTCTTGAGTGTATACTTTGAGACGGCTTTCTGGGTTGGATAATAAATGTAAGATCAATGTTATGCAAACGAAGTATTTTTTCTTCATAAAAAATTCTGTTGGTTTTCATTGGGATTACATTAAACTGCTGTTGCAACTTTTTAGGGGAAATGACATTTTTATGCTATTGAGAATTCCCATTCAAGTCTTTTCATTTATTTAAGTTCTGTGTACATTTGTCCTTCGTGAGGATTTTAGAGTTTTTTTTAATATTCACTATTGCAACAAATATTTAAGAAATACCTATTCTGTGCCTCATATTGTTTGAGTGCTAGGGCTGGAGACTTAAGTTTGGAAGTTGTAGGCATCACTAAGAAAGTGAACATATAGAGACAAGAAAAGAGATGCAAAAAAAATGCTTCCTGAGAGAGGACACAAGCAGCAGGAAGAGAAACTGGGAATTCAGGTAGAGGAAAACCAGTAAACTCTAACATGAAAGCCGAGAGTAAGAGAAAGAGAAATCAGTCATAACGAATAATTAACCGTTGGAACTATGGCACTTGAATCATTAATTCACTTCCGTCTACAAGGAAAGGTTTGGCAGGTTCATCTTGATGTTTAAAATGGCCATGTTTCTCAATGCCATTGACAAAATTAATCCATTCTTTCTCCACAATTCACTAAGCTGCCATCATTATATTTTAAACTGTCTTTGAGTCTATTTGGGTGTTTTCTCCTCTGTCATAATGACCATCTATCATTTCTCTACTAAAAATAAACTATATATAAGTAGTAAATTTATACTTATGTTGAATACCTAGTGAGACATATCCTGCTGGTAGTTCTTGTTCTTTCTTAATTTTCTTGGTTGATTTCAAGCATTTAGTCTTTGGGATACATTTTAGATCAATCTTCATTACAACGAAGATTAACTTAGCTGGATTTGGTAATAGTTGACATTTCTACAATGTTGATGCATCCCATACGAGGTATGACTTATCCATTTTAAGTTCAAATTTTATTTTGTAGTTCTCAATAAAAATATTAAGTCCAGCAGACTAATGGCAGATGTAAAATCAAGATGTAGAAGGAGCAAACAGGTGAATTAAAATGCTTAAGTTTAGTCACTGGGCCAGAGAAGAACCAGAACTCAAGCCCCCAGCCTTTTAGCCCCAAGTGCCAAATTGAACTCCCTGTCGGTGGCCTGATGCGGAAGGCAGAGGAAGGCAGAGAGGTGTTACTGGTTATGCCGCTTTTCTTGTGGGCCAGACTCACTGGAGCCTGACACTGCTCTAGGTTCTAGAAACCAGATGTATACCCTGCTTCCTGCCCCTCGTAGCTTCACAAGTAGCCTGCTGGTAAATACAATTCCCCATCTGATGCTTTTGGAAGTCTGCACAGAGGGCTCATGACACTTGCCCCAGGGGGCACATCCTGCACGTAGGACTTCAGAGCCTGATTCTCTCCATGACAGCACGTCCCCTCTGGGTCACTCTTCCATCCACTCCCTCTCTCCCTTCCTCCTGGGCCGAGACTGAGTGGGAGGCTGTCCTACCGGCAGAGCCCAAGAACAACAGGGGTACTCGGTGCCCCTGCGGAAAGGTGGCCTCCTCAGAAGACATCCACCTAAGAATAAAAGCTGGTGAATGCCACTGAGGGATGGAGAGGACTTGTGATAAGCCCACTCAGGTCATCCCCTGAGTCACCCTTCAATCACTGGAGTGACATAAGCAACTAGAGGCCCTGCAACTGTGAAGAAGGCCATAGGTAGGGGTGTGCTATCTATGCTGTGATCCTTCCAGGCTGGTGATGTCTGAGGTTTCATAGGTGTTATTTAGTTTAGCCCTCGCACACAATCCCATTTTGCAGATGAGGGAATAGCCTGAGAAAGAGAAAACAGCTTGCCTGTGGTCCTACAGCTCATCAACGGCAGGGCCTAGATTCATCCAGGTTCTGCCTGACCCCAGTTGCCACACTCTCAACAACCACATGTGTCACTCATCATCTCCCAAGATCTCCCACCAGGCCTCACGGACTCTACACACAGCACACAGACACTATGCTGAGCTGCAGTTATTTTATTAGTCAGGTTGATAAAAACAGAATCAGGTGGGGCAGGTGTCTGGATTCCAGCTTCAGATGATAAGGAGACAGAGCAGGGAGGTAGACCGAGGGTCAGGCATCAGTGGCAAAGATTCATGTTTCCACAGGGTTCAGAATGGACAAGGCTTCATGAACGTCCTTCTTCATCATTTCCAATGTGTTGGCAATGCATTCTTTGCTGGTAGCAATGGTACCCTAGGAGAGCCAGATGAGGAGGGGCAAAGGATAAGCCTCAGCAGGGCTAGCCTATCTCCCCAGTTCCACCCCAGTCCTCAGGATCACCCCACTCCTCATCCTCAGTGATTCAGCTCCATCCCGGGTAGGAACGTCTGGCCCACCAACAGAGAGGGGCTGCAATCAGTCAGATCAGGATGAAGGTGGGCCCTCTAACCCACACACAGGAGAGTCTGAACAACCAGCCAAGCCAGGACAGGAAGTTGACGAGAAGGTTCTGGTGGGCATGGTGGGGGCTGGGCCCTAGCGAGGGGCAAGGTGGCTGAGTCTGGGTTTATGTGGTGTCTGCCGTACCTGACACTCGTCTGCCAGGTATCCTGGATATGCAGAACGTGTATGCATGTGTCGTAAACAATCCCATATGCCCGTGTTAGTGTTAGAAATGCTGCTTCTTGCAAACCTTTCATTTTGCAGTATTAGCACTTTGGGGAAAATAGAGTAAGAGACAGACTATTCAAAATCTGCAGAACTGTGTAACAATTTTTTTTTAATGTACATTAAGGAGCCATAGTGAGCAGCTGCGAGTAGCTAGAAGCTGCTTCAGGCACAACAGAGAGGTAATTCTGCCTTGTAGAGAGTGGGGCTCTGAGCCTAAGGAATAGCCATAAAGGTGGACATAAGAGGAAATGAAACTGTCCAAAAGCTGGGAGCCTTAGGAGGCCAGCGGGTCCCTTCTGGGAAGGGTTTAAGGGTAAGTGATCATTTGCAGTAGTCCTGAAATAAAGCTGACAGTGTCTGACATGTGCGGGAGTGGAACCAAGGACTCTTTCCTTCCTGCCAAAGGTTAAAATTCTACTCCTGCAACGCCAGCTCCCCTAATCTGAAAAAAAAAATCACTGGAGCCCACACACTTGTTGCTTTGTTATGAGACCCTTATTTTCCAATAGTGTGTGAGCTCACTGGCACGATGGGCATGAGGCGGGCTAGAACAGGAAACGGGCTCAGGGTTCAAATCTGAAAGTGTGGGATAACAGGAGGCTTAAGAAGTACAAAGTAACAGGATACTCAGGGTTCAAAACAGAAGGTACAAAATATGGTGGGGTGGGGTGGGGGAGCCTGGCAAACACAGAGTCTTGTGGTCTCCTGACCAAGTCAGTTTCCTCTTAAGAGAAAACATTTCTCTTTCCCTCCCCAGGCACATACAACCCAGCCCATAAGGCAAATTATCCACCCACCCCCATTCATGAATATTCACCCCATAGTTACTCAGACCCTTTTTAAAAACGCACAACAGGCACTACAGTGCTGCTCCACGTGCTGCCTGTGTGTCATCTCTTGGAGGTGGGGTGGGGAAGATAAATTACCAGGACAATGGCATCCAGAACTTTTGATACGAATCCTGCCTCGTTGTAGCAATCCTGAATTTTTCTTAAGGCTGCTTTTTCGGGTTCAGTAGCCTTGGCCAGAAAAAGAGAGAGATCCAGTAACATGGGGCTTCCAAGGGCCATCGCACCAAAGATTCCATAAAAAATAGGGCACGCTTCCGCTGAAGACAAGACAGAAAGCAGCCCATCAAAGGGATCACCCAGGTAGGCAGTTCCTGTTTCCCCTTGGCTGGGAAGCATCTCACGGTCTCCTGACTCACCTTCCACAGAGACCTGCCCATCCCCCAGCTGCTTACACCCTGAACAGAGAAAAGCTTACTGGCGAGGCGCCCCGGGCGAAGGGAGCGGTATGAGGGGCTAGGACCCTCTGCCCTCATCACTACCCCAAGCACACCAGCCTGCCCGCTTCTGCCCTTCACATATGCACTCCCCCCACCCACCGCAAGTAACCATATCCTATCATGTACACAGCTAAGGACCCCTCCATCTCCAAGCCTCTCCCTCCATTCAAAGACCGAGAGAACCTCAGGGCTTCTGCAGGACCCCTCAGCACTCATCTCCCAGCCACTCCCTAGATGTGTCATTAGCAGCTACTCGGAGGTCACCCTGAGGTGGTGGAGTGACACAGAGCAAGGCAAGCATCAGGAAGGCCTCTCCTGATGGCCCCCCTTCCTGCTCTCACCCTTCCAGATGCTCAGCTCTCCCGTCACCAGCAAGGCCAGCACAAGAAGTGTCCTCTTCATGGTGCCAACTGCTGGTCGCTCTGCTCAGGCAAGTTTCTGCTGCTTTATATAAGCTACCAGCTCCCTGAGCCCAGTTCAGACCCTCTCAGGAGCTCCAAAGCCTTGTGGGCAGGGACCTGGCACACGTGGCTCCCTTCGCCCTCAGTGTATTAAGGTGGGAAACCCCTGCTGCTCTGAAAGCCAAGCTCCTGGAGAGGTGGCTTTACCTTTGCCAGAGACCAGCTGGAGCTGTTCTAAGTGACTCCATCCGGAGCCAAACGCTCTGTTGTCCCAGCCCCAACCGTCACCTTCGTTTCCTGTTCATCCTTCCCCCAACCTATCCTGGCTCCAAACACAGGACTCTCACCAAACATGGTGATGAAAATCACAGAGGGGTCAAGCAGGTCTGTGACAGCTTTAAGTAGACAAAAGATCATCCAGACACCTTGCTTCTGGCCAAGTTTTAGTCCTGGACACAAGTATGGGAGCCGGGCCTAACGGGAGCCCCTTGAACATCTCACCGGCCGCCCTCACTGGCTGCAGCCCCGGGCACACCATCCGCGGGCTCGGACTCACTCCCTAGCGGAGGACTGTGCCTCTGTGGGTGTTCTCAGCTTGCGGCTCACGCCCCCAGCTTCCCTGCCACCCTTAAGGGAGCAAATTGCAGAGCATCTTTTTGACTCGGTGGCTCCAACCTTGGCCGTTCTCCGGGCTGTCTCAGCTCCTCCGTGAATCTGGCCCCTAGGGGGGCTTAGGCTGCATAGCCCCTCCAGGAACATCAGCGAGCGGTTGTGCTGTGCAGTTTGTCGCCGGTGTTAGAGGCCCTGAGCTGTCCACAGCCCTACAGGCCACGTGGGCTGGAGTTCTAGGGAATGGAGTGCTGCCCCCACCGTATGTGGCAACCCCTCTGGTTAAACTCTCTCAAAAGTTGAACTCAACCTTCTATTCCAGGAAGCGGTTTGTTGGCATGAACAGGATGAGAAAGCCCGAGAAAACTACCAGAAGGAAGCCTGAGAAAGCGCCCAGCGGCTAAATCCAGAACAATTTGAGCAACCAAATAAAGAACATAGTAATGGATGATAACCCAAAGTATAAAATAATGTGTCCATACTGATATAAATAAATGATTTAATAGGTAAATAAATGGGGAGAAGAAACAAATATTCCTTACAGAAGCATTCCAAATAGTACCTGTATCGTCTATGGGGGACATTATGATATTATTTGTAATAGTAATCCTGCTCCAGGAGGCGGAACTTCCTGCCCAGCCCCCTCAGGAGTGAGCCAGGCTTGATGATTCGTTTCCAGGAAAAAAGAGAGAGTAGGGAAAGGGAAAAACAGTGCAGAAAGGGGCAAACGCATTAGCCAAGCGATCAGGGCTAACACGACCAGTGGAAGACAGAAGGCCCTTTCACTTCTGTTGTGTCTTCCCCAGTCTAAGTGACAGAAAAACAGCAGACAAACTCAGCTTAGGGGACAGTCTACAGCACTTGGCAAGTGCCTTGCCCCATGAGAAACAGGGGAAGACTGAGAAACTGTCACAGACCAGGGGAGAGTGAGGAGATATGACGATTACTGCAGTGTGTTTTCGATGTGGATTGGATCCTGGAACCCAAAGAACGTGAACAGGTAAACTGGTGAAATGCAAATAAACTTTGGGGTTCAGTTCAGAGTAATGTACCAAGGTCAGTTCCTTCATTTTGACAAATCTGCAACTTCTCTGTAAATCTAAAATTATCCTAAAATTAAAAGTATTTTAAAAGAAAACTTACATTAAAAAGGGGCTGCATATGCTGCATCTCATCCATTATCCTGTCCAGCAATTCCCCCTGGCCTCAGCAGATGTCCCCCATCTGGAGGCTCCTTGGTCTTATGGCACTGTTGCCGGGATGCCAGGGCTGGACTGACATCAGCACCCTGACTGTGACTTCAGCAGCACTCTAAGCCCCGGCTCCACCATCCCACAGAGCTGGGCAGAAGATCGCAGGGAGTATCTTACGAAGACAGTGGGCACCTTGCTTAGGTGCCCACCACACTGAAATTCTGTCCTGGGTGCAGAAGGAGAAGCATGTGCAGTCTGGGCATTTGGTGTTCACTTTCCTGGGCTGGTAGGTGCTCAGGAATCTCTGAAGGACATCTACAATGATCTGAGCCCCTCCTGGGGACCCTCAGAGGCCTGGCCCCTGGGCATCAGTATCCTTGGCTCCATGGTGGCCAGCTGACAGCTGGAGCTCAGTACTTGGTGCCTCTTTCCAATGGCAGTTACCGGATGTGGATCCTGTTTGGCAGAGGGTTCTGACTGGGGTCAGAAAACTTGTGTCCTACCTTCAGCTCTGGGCTTCAGCAAACCTTACTCAGTCACAGGTGACTCAGGCCAGTCAGGTGCCTCTAGCAAGAAACTGCTTAATTCTGACTTACCAAAACAATGAAAACTTTAATCCTAGGCAGTATTCATAAACACATATACAGCCAGAATAAGTAAAAATGTTCTGTTTATCAAGTCCAGAAAAATGGGGAATTCCCTTTATCAGCTAACGAACCCCGTGAAGCACCTGCTGTGTGTTGGGCCCTGTTCTGCTCCTGTAGACACAGCAGTGCAGACAGCAAAGCCTCATTCTTCTGGAGCTCGTCACACATCTAAAAGGGAGTGGAAGACAATCCCAAATGGCAAGAAGTGCTATGAAGTGGGGGAGGTGAGGGGGTACTGGGGGCAGGGTGGGGAGCGCCCTTTGATATAAGGGGCCAAGGATGTGAGGAAGTCTCTCTGGTAAAGTGACGTTTGAAGAGACCTGAGGAATTAGTTGTGGATCATGCAACCACTTGGAGGTCTCCAGGCAGTGGAAAGAACATTCCAGGCAGTGAGGGCAGCATGTGCAAAGGCCCTGCTGCAGGAACACACTTGGCATAGTTAAGAAGCAGACAGAAGGCCGGTGAGGGAGCAGAGAATGGCCAAGATGAGCTCAGAGGGGCAGCAGCTTCACAAACTGCATAGGGGTTGTGGCCCACAGAAGGGGCTTGGCTTTTCCTTGGATGGTAGCTCTGCAGAGATGATGGTGTGAACAGTACAGGGCAACTCAAAAGAAGCAGCAGATTTGTGAAAAATGATATTTCTGTGTCATATTGGGGTCAAAGTAACTGTGTGGTAGGACTTGGTCAACAAATTAGAACTTCTGGACCAGGCACAGACTCAAGGGAGGCCACTGAGTAGTTCAAGGACAAGGACTGTGATGAAAACAGGGCCGGGCAGGAGCCTCCCTGCCCTGACCGGGGAGAGAGACAGCCTGACCAGGGGTCTGGCCTCGTGCTCTGGCCTCGCTTGGTACTTACTAACTGTGAGACCATTAGCTGAGCAGAGTTATGTGAAAAATCCACAAAATTGAGAGGTCACGTGTAATAACAGGCTGACTTTGCCCATTAATCGGGAAACCTGATTTAGGAGACTTTTTGCCCCTTTCCCCAGTCAACCTAGGACATTTCAGTTCTTTAACTTCCCATGTCAGCTGACACTAGGACGGAAACCTCAGGGTGGGAAGGGCGGCCAAGCCGGTGTCCTTGTTGACTCTGGGGCTTAGGCCCCTGCCCTTCCCTCCTCCCTCACCCGCTCCCTCTCCAGCCTCAGGCAGCTCCAGGCTGCAGCCTGGGAGCGGCCTCTGGGGGCCTTCTGGCAGAGGAGATGTCAGGCACAGGCCCCGCCTGCCCTCTGTGGGGCCAGGGCAGGTATAAGAGGGCTCCTGGGTAGGGAGGGAGCACCCACTGCCTGCACCATGAAGCCGGCTGCTGCTTGGGTGCTGCTCTGGGCGGCCCTGCTCCTGCTCTCCAGAGGAGGTGCGTGCCTGGGACATGGGCCTTGGGGGACATGTTCCCAGGGGTTCTGACACCTTCTGGGGCAGTTCGGAGCATGCTGGGAGGGGTAAGGGAAGAGTGGGTCCTGATGAGTGTCTATCAAGGGAGTGTCAGCTGGTCTTTGTGTCCCAGACTGTGACATTTGCCCAGCTGTGGACAGGGATGTTCACACATTCCTGAAGGGAACTGCTGATGAGTACGTTGAAGCAGTGTCACAATACAGAAACGACAGTGCCGTGCTGGCCAATGCCAGGACACTGAAGATCTGCATTGACCACAGCTTGACCAAAGAGGATAAGGCCCATGTTCTCAGCTTCCTGGTAGGTCCACCCATGTGTGTCTTGCTTCTGACGCCTGTCAGGGGTCCCCTCAGGGCAGTGGGGGTGGGGGTAGCTCATTCTCATCCCCTCGTGGCCCTTACCTAGAATAAGTGAGGAGAAAGAATCTCATGAATGAGGAGGTAGAGAGAATGGAGCCAACACCAGCAATGCAGGGAAGGACCAGGAAGAGATGGTCTAGCCCTTGAACTCTTGGGCAGGCCCTGGCTTCTCAGCTCTGCCAGGCCTTGTTCCCTGGATCCCAGAGGGCCATTCTGTGCCTCACCTGGCAGGAGAAGAGGTAGCTTCCGAAAGTCCCCTCCTGCACCTGACGCCCCAAGCCTGGAATGCTCCCAGGGAGAATCAAGGCAACACCCCTGCCTGCTGACCCAAGTAGAGGAACAAGCCACTGCTTCAGTGGCAAGCATTCAGGGCTCCCCAGGAAGCAGTCAGTGAGTGTCCAGTGCCGCTTGATGTCTCCTTCACCCGTCACCAGGTGTCCTGACCTTCTCTTTGCAGGACAGAATATTCTCAAGCCCTTTTTGTTAATGGACCCATCCTTGCCAGAAGCCCCAAGGAAGCCACTTACCTGATCATTAGGTAACCTCAGCGACCTGACCTGCCATGTCTAGGTGTCTGACTAAAGGATTCCAGCAATAAAAGCTTTGCAATTCAAAGGGCTTACTGTTTGGAGACTGGGCTTCCTGGGGCTGGAATTGGGGAGGTGCACAAACTGTGGGACTTACAGCTGCTGTCAGATATTGTTCCTCCCCTGAATTCAATAGGTGAGGGGAGGGGAGCAATGCTAATTAGACAGCCAGAGTGTCTGAGCAGCCCGCCTACCCAGTACCTCTTTGGTGAGGCCAAAGCAAACTAACGGGTGAAAAGGGGCCCCTGTCCCAAGTCCTGGACAGAAGAACAAAGGGTCAGCACCAGAAAACCACCTTTTGTGCCTCAGGTAACCCAAACGCCAACCACTCAGTTACAGATTCA